CGTCACAACCCACAGGAGCCTATGAAGACATGACAACTCAGTGTAACATGGGATCCTAAATGAGATCCTGGAACAACAATAACAAAAAAGTACCTTAGGGAAAAACCACTGAAATCTGAATCAAATATGAAGTTTAGTTAATATTGTATTGGTTTCAGGCCAGGTGCTGTGGCTTATGCCTGTAATCCGAGCACTTTGGGAGGCTGACTCGGACAGATCACATGAGCCCAGAAGTTTGAGACTGGATTGGGCAATAGGGTGCAATCTCAACTCTAAAAAGAATACAAAAATTATCTGGGAGTGGTGGTTCACACCTATAGTTCCAGCTACTCAGGAAGCTGAGGTAGGAGGATCAATTGAACCCAGGACAATGAGGCTGCAGTGAGCCAGGATTGCACCACTGCACTCCAGCCTGAGTGAAAGAGCAAGACCCTGCCTCAAAAACAAAACAAAACAAAACAAAAAAAACAAAATAAAAATTAAAAAGAAAAAATGGGTAAGAGGTATATAGGAGCTCTGAGTACCATCCTTGCAACTTTTCTGCAAATTTAAAACTATTTTAAAATGAAAAGTTTATCAAATTTACAAGAAAAAAAATTAAAAAGTGGGCAAAGGACATGAACTTCAAAAGAAGTAATACAAGCAGCCAACAAGCATATGAAAAAAAGCTCAACATCACTGATCATTAGAAAAATGCTATCAAACCACCATCTCACAGTTGTCAGAATGGTGTTATTAAAAAGTCAAAAAATAACATGCTGGTGACACTGCAGAGAAAAGGGGATGCTTATACACCGTTGCTAGGAGTGTAAATTAGTTCAACCATTGTGGAAAGCAGTGTGGCAATTCCTCAGTTAAAATCAGAACTACTATTTGACCCAGCAATCTCATCGACTGTATATGCTCGAAGAAATATAAATCATTCTACCATAAAGACATGCACATGCCAGGCACAGTGGAGCATGCCTGTAGTCCCAGCTACTTGGGAGGCTGAGGCTGGAGGATCACTTGAATCCAGGAGTTCTGGGCTGTAGTGTGCTATGCTGATGGGGTGTCTGCACTAAGTTCAGCATCAATATGGTGACCTCCTGGGTGCCAGGGACCACCAGGTTACCTAAGGAGGGGTGAACCAGCCCAGGTCTGAAATGGAGCAGGTCAAAACTCCCATGCTGATCAGTAGTGGGATCCTACCTGTGAATAGCCACTGCACTCCCACCTGGGCAACATAGCGAGACCCTGTCTCTTAAAAGACACACACATGAATGTTCACTGAAGCATTATTCACAATAGCAAAGACATGGAATCAAACTAAATGCCCATCATGACAGACTGGATAACGCAAATGTGGTCCACATACACCACGGAATACTATTCAGTCATGTAAAGAATGAGAACATGTCTTGCAGGAATATGGATGGAACTAGAGGCCATTATCGTTAGCAAACTAACATGGGAAAAGAAAACTGAATACCACTCATTGAAGTGGGAGCTAAATGATGAGAACTCATGGATACAAAAAGGAGAACAGCAGACACTGGGGTCTACTTGAGGATGGAGAGTGGGAAGAGGGAGAGAATCAGAAAAACTAACTATTGACTACTAGGCTTAGTACCTGGGTGACAAAAGAATCTGTACAACAAACCCCTGTGACATGTGTTTGCCTATAGAACAAAGCTGCACATGTACCCCTGAACCTAAAAGTTAAAAAAAAAATAAAATTAAAACTTCAATGTTAAAAAAAAAAATTCTGGCCAGGTGCAGTGGCTCATGCCTGTACCAGCACTTTGGGAGGTAGAGGCACGTGGATCACATGAGGTCAGGAGTTCGAGACCAGCCTGGCCAATATGGTGAAACCCTGTCTCTACTAAAAATACAAAAAAATTAGCCGAGCATGGTGGCGGGCACTTGTGATCCCAGCTACTCGGGAGACTGAGGCAGGAGAATCTCTTGAACCTGGGAGGCAGAGGTAGCAGTGAGCCTAGATCACGCCATTGCACTATAGCCAGAGCAACAAGAGTGAAACTCCATCTCAAAAAAAGAAAAAATAAAAAAGATTTGATAGAAACAGCAGAGGAACTTTAGACATAGATAATTATTATCCCTTGTATCATCTTATGAAGAAATATTTGTGGGGTCAATATTAGATTCTTTGACACCTTTTTTCTCCTCAGCCTTAAGCTCTCTGAGAAATAATTGGTTATGAGCTAAGCCAAATGAGGACAGCATAAACCCAAAACTATGAAACTGATTGAGTCTTCACCATGGTACCACTACAAGAATTGGTGGTTTGTTTTGTAAAATGATCTCTTGACTGATCTAGTCAAAGACAAAAGAGAAATACATAGTGTCCCCATTCAGCTTCATTTTGACCACTCACTTTATCTTCTATTTTAATATCATAAAATTGCTTTTGAATTAGATATTTCAGTCTATACCCGCATTGTCCCACTGCAGTGTCAACTCTGTGAGTAAAGGATTACATCTGGATTGTTCACTAATATACCCTTAAGCTTAATGAATATTTGTTGAATGAATCAATAATGAACAGAAAGAATACGTTTTTTTTATACTCAGATGACATTATTTGTGCCAAAAACGGGGAGGAATTTTAACATAAATAGGTACGTAATCACCATCAAAAGCTTAAGATGAACTGTTCTAAAACCAGATTGCCCAGTTTAGCAAATGGTCTTGTTTTTAGCAAATGGTCTTATCCAATGTAGTATGTAAATTCAATTAAAAGAACTAGAATCCACTTTGCCATTAACTGGAAGACTAATTTTATTGATTTAATCTAAAATGTTTATCATTGCTGCAATAAAATTGTCATGACAACTATGAGTGATTGAGGACAACTGGTTGAACAATTTTTTAGAATAAAATTATGTGGTCTTGCTTTACAGCATTGAACTTTTGAGCTTCAATCATTTGCCCACAGATTGTAGAAGAGAACTGTTTTTTAAGGAAAACCTAACACTGCCTCTAGGTACCACTTCAGCTCCTCTGCAGGAAATGAATTCTAGGTGGATATCTGTCTGGTCATTTTTATGAGAACATTAGCCCTACCCTCCAACCAGTTGATTTTCTGACCTTAGGGATCCATCCTTAATTGGTAAGATAAGATATTTTCAATCTAGTAATTTATTAGCCCTACAATCTCATATTATCTGCTACTCACTTATGCAAAATTGGTTATATGAAACAATATTACTGAACGCTATGAGGTCCTTCTTAAATATTGAAGATTCTTTACCTGGAGTTTATGCAACCCCCTGAAATCACATGTAAAATGTAATCTTATGAGTGTTAGTATACAAAACTCCTAATATATGGTCTGTATGTCATCAGAATTTGAAAGTGCTCCATAATGCAAAGAATGCCCTTCCTTTAATTCAAAGTTTATTCTTGGATCAGGTCAGACCATAAACAGTTAGTTACTTGTTCAGTATTATTTTAGCTAATTTTCAAACTTTTAATATTTGAGTTTGAGTGTACTTGAATCAGACTGTACAGGAGAGAACCTGTCATTGTAAGGATTTTTGAAACCGGTGCTGTAAACCATGGTAGCCACTGTGAAAACCTGCGAGTCAGATTTTTATTGATTCTTTGTCCTGGAAAAGGCTAGACCTCTATTGAACATGTGGTTTGGATTTTCTTATAAGCATGTGAATCTCGAAACTGTTCACGTGTCCCTCTTCACTATGAGAAGTAGGAGACAGACCAAATTTATAGGTACCCTGCATCAAAGGTATAGGCTTTTATGACATGCATTCAAAAAGTATTCTTCTAAACCATAACTCCATTGTATTACTTTCCTGTCTTCATGTCCCATTGTTCCAATTTCCTCCCCTACTTCACATTTTCCTTTTCTTTGGTATATTTAAGCTTCACATCCTTTTTGAAATAGCTTCACATCCTTTTTGAAGTAAGATGTGAAATAAAAACAGGCAATATAAAAAAACTCAGCTAACACAAAAATTCTATCAAATTATACTTTACTAAAATGAAGTCTCTTACTGTCTTTTTGTTTAATGTTCCTTTTTCAAAACAAAGACAATAAAAAGAAGAATATAAGTTTTAGTGCTTAATGCATAAAAATACTTTAATATAGAAGATGGCTTGGTAATGAAATGTACATTTCAAAAGCAACACAATATACTACATTAAATATTACTTTTTAGGATAATACTGCCATTAATTTTGGCACAGTTTAAAAGTCAATGTTAATGTATAAGATACCTTATAAAATTGGTTATAATTTTATTCCATTGACTATTATATTAAAAATATATATCACATTTGCCTGTTAATTTGTGTTTTCTTTAAAATGAAGACATTGTACAAACATACAAAGTCAAAAATTATTGAGAAATTACCTGAAAAGATTGGAATAATTGAACAGCAATAAAGCTACAACAAAAAAACGTTGATCAGTATTAAAAGAAATAATTTGTATAACTACTAGAAGAAATATTTGACCTCATAAGTACTGACAAGTTTTCAGGTCGCTGTCATCTTGCTTGAGGTATTTTTCATATTTTCTCTTAAATGTAATATTCTCATTTTGTAAAATCTAGTCCAATAAGATTTAAAAGAACAAATTGTTGATACTCATTCCAATATGACTCTTAAGATTTCCCGCTTTTATACAACTCTATGAAAAAATTAATTTCAAAAGCCTAAATACATGTCTGATGTTTAAAATTTCTTCAACAAATGTAATTTGAATAATTACAGGTTTAAGTGACTTATGAACTATTCATGGGGAAACGAGAATGATTTTAATTATCTACCAAAGTGTATTATATCCCAAGATCATTTAGAATTGTTTGCACATCAGAGCTCGTGTGGTTTGTAAATAATATAAAATGAGTAAAAATGAAAATCAAAACCTATCATTTTAGGAAAAAACTAAATATGGGAAATTTGCTAGCCTGTTGCATAACTTGAAAAAAATCAGAAGAATTAAATAGTGACTTTTAAAGAAAAGTAAACTACAATTATTTTAAATACAAATTTAAATTACCTCCTGTTATTTTCTGTGGAATATTATATTTGGGAGGCATCACCTGTCTTCTGCCCATTCCATGAGATCTTGAAAGCAAGCAGTCTACATACATGTCCCAGAAATCCTGAGCTATGTTTAAGAAGACATTATAATGTCCAGGCCGCTGAGATTTTTGCAAGAACAACATGAAATTCCAAAAAGCATCCACATTGTGCCCTATCTTGAGTTCCTTAAGATCTATCAGTGTCAAAGAGCAAGCTTTCCAGCACTGGAGATCAATGTCTTCGGTGATCCCTGGGCTGATGCTAGCAAGCACTCCCTTTTGAAACTTAAAGTCAGCATTAACCAGATTGATCAGCATCATGCAGCCCAGCTGTAGGTACAACCATCTTCTTGCAGCAAAACCCATTTCTATTTAAAAAATAAAAATAAATTATTCAATCACTTGACCTAAAAAACTACACCCACCCACATATATTTGTTTTTGATCAAGCCAAATTTGCTTACTAGGTATTTGTTAGTTTTTTCTAAGTTACTGATTGTCACACCTTCCTTTAGGACATTACAGTTCCAATTTGATTTCCAACGTTCTGATCAAAAGCCTTCGGGAGTCATTGAAATCCAACACGTTTATGAAAATGTGAAAAGTTCATTTAATCACAGACCTTTAAAACTGGCAGAAACCTTAAAGAGCTTGTGCTCCAACCTTCTCCCTTTACTGATTAGAACAATGATAAGTGATACAGTCCCGCAAGACTTTAGACTCCTCACTGCCTATCCAAGACTCCTACCTGCCACAACACATTTCAACTAAGTGGATCAAAATGCAGTCCTTTCCACATGTAACCAGAAGAAATATTTTGTTGTTGTTAATTGAGGTATTATCAACCCAAATAGTACTAGATCTCACAAGCACCGTTTAAGTTTCAAAGTTACTGCTGTTTCTATTTATTGGAGAATACCATTAGGAACTAATGTTCGGTGTATCCCTGGCTTCTCTCAGGTTGTTGAGGAGCTGGTTGGAGAAGATGAACATATACACGCATGAAGGAGCATGAAGACAAAGGTGATGTAAGGTAGGATGAGAGTATGCAGGGCCCATTATATTCAGCAAAATCTTGGCATTTTCTAATGCTTCTTTGCACACTTCATTGCCAACTACTGTTCAGTAAAATCGGCCCAAAGCACATAGAAGGAAGTCAAGGAAGAAGTTGGCATTGAATTGCCACACAGCTATTACTCAAGGCTGGTGTTAGAAATGTCCCTTTTACAACCTTGACAGCAACGGGGAGGGATAGAGTGAGGATAACAGATCCAGAACACATCCCCTATCCCACCGCCCCCGTACACCGCCGTCTGCCACCTCCCCAAAAAAGTTAGGCTGAAGAGAGAAATCATACGAAACAAATCTAAACAGCATATTCAAGTTGTTTCACATGGTTGAAAATTACCCAAATTCCCCACACTAAGGTGAAAGCCAGCAGTTTATGATTCGTATTGTATCGGAAGGGCTAGGGTAGAACCAGGGAATTCTCTTCCCTCTCAATTTCAGGTTAGCGCCTCACCCAGTGCCCCACGCCCCGGGTCAGATCACCTGGACGCAGAAGAGGGAGACCACGCGAGAGTCGAGGACCTCTGGTCGACGTCCGGGGCGCGCGTCCGGGCGCGGTGTCCTGGGTGCGCTGCGCTCTTTCGGAGGAGGACACGGGCGCCTCCTGCTCAGGAGGAACCAGAGGTTTCAGCGCAGGCGACCCCTGCCCTCCCTTGGTCCCAGCCCCCTGCCCAGGGCGCCCCCTGCCCAGTGGACCCACCCCTCCCAGGGCAGGCGAACTGGGTGAGGCAGTGTTGTCAGACCCACTCCGAGCGCTCAAGGGGCGCCCGAGCTCGCCCCGCGGAACCGTCTGGGCCGCGCGGCGCTCCAGCTCTGAGAGGCTCTGGCTCACGGCGGGTGTCGCTGCGTGTTGTGCTGCGGCCGCGTGGGGATCCAGAGACAGACCCGCTGCCCGGACCGCGCTCCTTTTCTAGAGGCGGAGTGAGGGGGCAGAGCGTGGTTGGCCGCGCTCGGGAGTCCCCTCCCTGACCTCGCCCGCCTTCCCAGCCTCCAGACCCCGAAGGTCCCCTGTGCCGTGCGCCCCTGCCTTGCCCGCTGCTCTCGCCTTCTTCCTCAGACTTTCTTGCTATGTCAAAAGCTCAGGGGCTTCCTCGCTTTCTCACTTCTTACTTTGGTTCCTTCTTTTTTCCTAGCTGAGAAGATCCATCTCGGCAGTAGTCAATCTACATACCCAAGTTATCTTCTCCCTCCACCCAGCCATGCTCCACACCGTATTTTCCTATCCAAAGAAAAATTTTCTTAAGGCTGTGGACTCTCTTAAAATCCTTAACCTCTCTGAACGGTTCTAATCTCTAGCTAAGTATCGTTTATTATTAACACTAACACATACCCACGCACAAACATGCCCTTGCTTCTACCTAAATACACACTGTGGGGGGAAAGTTTCCTTTAGCCTTTCATGAATGAAGACCCCAGCAAGTCCCTTGAATTTCACATACGTATGTTGTCCATCAATCCCAGCCCCGACACATCACTTAGACTATATATGAGTTTAAGTCTATCTGCTCTGCCTAAAGCCCAGCAGCGATGACCAGATGGGGCCAGGGAAATCAATCCAAAGCCAGCTGCTTTATCCCCAGTTTCCCTCAGGTAGGCACCCTTCCTCCCAGGTTCTTGAGCTGGGATGGTGAGATCCTGGGGTGAGATGATTGCCAAACCCAACAGCCCAGTTCCCCAGTCATTGTCTCCGCTAAAGGTCATTTCTCCCAGCAGCCCCCATTACTCAAAACTCCATCCTGTTCTCACCACCTCGGTGGAGCTAACATGGTCAATCACTAGTCTGCCCTGTCAATTCTTTTCTAAATGGCCCTTCTATCTGCAGGACCAGCTTCTGCACAAAATAGAACTGAGAAAAGAAGACTTGTTTACTCTGATTAGGTAGGATACACACGAATCCATCTCACACCAGGTATTCTTCGGCTCAGAGTTCCAAGTGTTTTAGTCTGCCATTAATCATGGACTCACAATTAGTAGAGACAGAGTGACCTAATCCAACATCCCAGCCGAAACTTGAACAAATCACCCTCCCAAGGAATTTGTCCACCCAGCAAAGCTGTTGTCCAGCCTGTCTTAACCTTAAGCACATTCCCCATCTTCAAAGGAAGCAACCCCTTCCATCCTTGGGTTAATGTTGGCCCTTCAATGCTTCCTTCTCAAATGAATTGGCTCCACTTCTCTGTTGAATAGCCACATCGTTCCTGTCAATCGTTTTGCAAAATATATTTTTCATAAAACATTTTTATCTATATACAAGTATTGCAAACCCTATTGAAAAGTTGTAAAATACAGGAAAATATAAGAAGACAGGTAATAGTTGTCATTAAAATACATTTTTTAAAAATGTTCTGGTATTAATGTACTGAATAAAAGTACGTATTTGGTTATGATTATTATAACACACACACAGAGAAAAATGGTATTCTGAATAGAGAACTTATATAAATCAATAGAAAAATAAAGGCAACTCAGAGAAGAGTAGACCTTAATATTCAGTAAACATGAGAAAAACATACCGAAATACTCTAAATTTAGATACACTTAATAACAAAGCCATTTCAAGAAAATAATAAATTGTTTTCCCCAAATAAAGCTTAACAAAAATAAAAGTATTTGGTAGAATACAATCTCAACAATTTTTTGAGAAAATGAACACTTCACATACTTTTGACGAGACTATCAACTGGTGTAATCACCACGGTAGAAAACTGTTTTGGCATTTTTCTTTTCTTTTTTAATTTTTTTTGTTGTTTGGTTTTTGGTTTTTGGTTTGTTTCTTTTTTTGAGAGGGAGTTCAGCTATGTCTCCCAGACTGGAGTGCAGCGGCGCCATCTCAGCTCACTGCAAACTCTGCCTCCTGGGTTCAAGTGATTTTCCTGCCTCAGCCTCCTGAGTAGCTGGGATTACAGGCGCGTGCCACTAATTTTTGTATTTTGTTAGTAGAGACGGGGTTTCAACATTTTGGCCAGGCTGGAAGTTCTTAAATGTCTCATCCACGGTGTTAAGTATTCCAACACAAAAAAATATGTATTTAAGAGGAACTAATAAATACCTATTTTTGAATAAATAAATGAATACTCATTATTTATCTCCATGACTTAAAATTTTGCTGGAGGAAAAAACGGCAACTGTATTTAATGTTATGCCTATGCCCAATGAATTCCAACTGAAATTCAATACATTAAATTCCAATCCTGAATACAATAAATACAACAATAAAGCAAACAAGATCATTTTGCCTGATTCCTGGCTATATGTTTATATGAGAAGCAAATTTAAATAATGAGAGAAAAATCCCTACAATTTGCCTTTTTTTAAAAAAAAAAAAATTGAAGTATATTTTAAGATTAAGAATAGCTCACTAATCTTTGCTTTCAGCTTTAAAATTCTTACAAAGGCTTTAAATGAGTGAGGAGATGGCCAGGCATGGTGCCTCATGCCTGTCATCCCAACACTTTGGGAGGCTGAAGCGGGCAGATCACGAGGTCAGGAGATCTAGACCATCCTGGCCAACATGGTGATACCCAGTCAATTAATTAAGAAGCAAGAAGAGAGAAAAAAGCACAGCAAAAAGTGACAAGTAGAAAGTACATTTATAAGAACCAAGGAAACAATCTTAATAAATAGTCTGAACTTGTTGATTAAAGGAACGAAGATGTGGTTGGATTTTAAATTCTGCTATGTGCTTTTACAAAAGATACACAAAAAAATGAGGACAAAGAACCTTGAAAAGAATGGAAATAAATATACCATGTAAATGTTAATTGTATTTTAACCTGACAGCTTTATTAATACAAAAAAGCAAGATAAAGGAGAAAGGGGAACACTACATAATAATAAAAGACTCAATTCAGAAAGAAGGTAAAAATATTCTAAATTTAGATATACTTAATAACAAAGCCACAGAATACATAAAGCAAAAACTGATAGAAGTAGAGGGAAATTTTGACAAACTCACTATCATAGTGGGAGAGTTCAACAAGCCTTTATGTTAAGATGACAATTACTAAATGTGTAGATCATTTGAACCATCAAGTTTATAAGGAAACATGAAACTTGTAGTTAAAGAACACATTCTTCTCAATAGAAAATAAAGCAAGTCTCATGAAATACAAAGCAAGTCTCAACAAATTTCAAAAATCATTATCACTCAGTGACCACAACAGAAAATTTAATAGTCTAGAAAGTGCTTTAAGAAATATAAAAACAAGAACATGTTTTCATGTTTTTAAATTTAAACAATAAATGTACTTATTTATGCAATGACATTAAACAATAGATTTTAAAATAAAACACAATGG